CCCCAAAACCCCAAAACCCCAAAACCCCAAAACCCCAAAACCCCACAACAATCTATTCGAAGATAATATATGAAACAGCAAAATAATAGTGAGGAATATATTGAAATTTACTAATGAAGTGATCAGTCTGACATTGTATAATATTAAAATTTATATTTCAAATTAGGTATTATTAGTATATCAGTAATAATTATATAGATGAATCCAACCTTTAACTCCTACACTTCTCACAGTAAATCCTCTTCAGGAACGGACCTAACAGGAGTTTAATCGGTCACAACATGTATCAATGCTGAGACACTTAGCAAGGAGATCTCCCGGGTCGTTAGTTCTCTCGAAGTAGAGGGAATTATTTACGACTCGGACTCCGATATTTCACAGGAATCCATCGCCGAAAAGAAGATCCTTAAAATTGATAAAAAGTTATCAAAGCACAAAGCGATGGATAAAGTTGAAAAGAGAAGACTTCAAAACAGAAAAAGTGCTTTGAAGTGCAGACTCAGAAAGACCCACACGATACAGAGCTCTATGCAGCAGATTTCTCTCATGACCAAAGAGGTTGGCTAACTCAAACAAGAGCGCTAATCTCTATATGAAGAGGTACGTGACAACTAGATTCACTAATCTTATTATAGATTTCTCAACTTAAGGACAAGTTAAGAGATGAGCAACTCAAAGTGGCCAAAATGATGTCTCAAATTCCGGCCCAAGCTCATCAGCAAACGCCAGTTTACACTTACTCGCAGCCCATGCAGTACGTTTAGACTTAACCGAACAACTCAAATAACCACCACGGTTTAAATAATTTAATGGTTCAACCACTCTTGCAAGGTGGTATCTAACCCTCACAATACTATCCAAATGTATATGTGAAATACCCTTCTCAACAGCAGAACGCTGTCCCTATGTTCAACCAGTACACAATGTGATAACCTAATACTTACTTATGAGCCCACCTATATTAACACAAATATTGTTATCTTAATACTTAATAATTTCACTCCTCAAAAAAACTTCATCTTTTTCTATTCATTTCTTGAAAATCATAATACGCATAATTTCTGGAATCTCGGGGTTTTGGGGTTTTGGGGTTTTGGGGTTTTGGGGTTTTGGGG